GATCTTAACCATACACATTCTCTACTTGCTTCATGAATGGATATTATCTCAGCATGATTTGAAGAAGTAGCGACAATAGACTGTTTCATAGATCACCATGATATAGCAGTACCTCCGTATATGAACAGATAGTCTGTTTGTGATCGAGCTTTATGTAGGTCAGATAAATAACCTGCATCTGCATGACCAACAAGATCTGCACTATCTTTATTAGTATAAAACAGACCCATATCACTAGTTCCCCTTAGATATCGCAATATATGTTCAACTCCATTCCAATGTCTTCGTGTAGGGGAAGAACTATATTTTGCTAACAAATTAACAGAAAATGCTATGTCAGGTCTCGTAGCATTAGCAAGATACATAAGTGCCCCAATTGCACTAAGATAAGGTACTTCTGGACCGAGAGGTTCCTCATTCTCTTCTTGAGGTCGGAATGGATCCTTACTCACTTCAAGTGATCGGACAACCATTGGAGTACTTAATGGATGTGCTTTGTCCATGTAAAATTGTTTCAAGATTTTCTCAGTATAGGCAGATTGATGGATGAAGACCCTGTATACTAAATATTCTATTTGTAGTCCAAGACAAATTTTTGTCTTTCCAAGGTCTTTCATCTCAAATTCTTTCTTTAGATATTCAATTGCCTTTTGAACCTCTTCTGGAGTTCCAATGAGATTAATGTCATCAACATAAACAGTAAGAATAACAAACCCCAATGTTGTTTTCTTAATAAATATACAAAGACAAATGACATCATTTATATAACCCTATTTATCAAGTACTCACTGAGACGATTATACCACATGTGCCCTGATTGTTTTAAGCCATATAATGACTTTTGTAATCAGATTGAATGCATTTCTCGAGATTTTGAACTACATGCTTCAGGCATTTTAAGTCCTTCCGAAACTTTCATATAAATTTCATTATCAAGTGAACTGTAAAGGTAAGCTGTAACCACGTCCATTAGATGAATTTTAAGATTTTCATGTAAAGCTAAACCGATGAGATATCGAAAAGTTATTGCATCCATAACATGTGAATATGTTTCTTCATAGTCGACACCGGGTTGTTGAGAGAATCCGTGTGCAACAAGGTGTGTTTTGTATCTTACAATCTCATTTCTCTCATTTCTTTTTCGTACAAAGACCCATTTATGGCCAATTGGTTTAACATCACTAGGTGTTTGGACTACTGGTCCAAAAACCTCATGCTTAGCAAGTGAATTTAATTCTGATTGAATTGCTTCTTGCCATTTTGGCCAATCACGTCTTTGTCGACATTCTTCGACAGATAGAGGTTCAAGATCCTCATTTCCTTGCATAATGCTAAGTGCAACATCATATGCGAAAACATTATCCACTATGTTTTTTGATCGATCTAAACTTATCCCATCACCTGTAGAACTTATTGAGAGTTCTTCATTTACTTGAGTCTCGGGTTCACTGATCTCTTCAGGAATATCAGGATTAATCAGATCTTGAATTTCTTCGTGAAATTATTTTGTAGTGTCATTTTTTGTACTTCTTTTTCTAGGATTTTATCTTGTGAACCCAATGGTCTACCACGCTTCAGGCGTATTTGTGATTCAGAAGTTATGACACTTGTAGATGGTCCTTTTGGGACGTCGATTCGGATAGGCACATTTACTGCAGGAATATGTGATTTTGTTATCCATTTCAAATCAGTAAATGCGTCTGGCATTTTATTTGCTGTGTTTTGCAAATGGATGATCTTCTGAACCTCTTGTTCACACACAAGGGAGTGTGGATCAAAATGAGATAATGATGAAACTTTCCATGCTATTTCACTTTTAAGTTTATTTTTCTCTCCCCCTAATTGCGGAAAATTTGTTTCATCAAATCGACAATATGCAAATCTTGCATTGAATAAATCTCCCGTCAATGGCTCAAGGTAGCGAATCATGGAGTGTGAGTCAAACCCAACATATATGCCTAACCTTCTTTGAGGGCCCATCTTGGTGCGCTGAGGTGGTGCTACAGGCACATATACAACACATCCAAAAATTCGAAGATGAGCAATATTTGGTTCATGGCCAAATATCAATTGTGATGGGGAGTATTTATTATAATGAGTCGGTCTAAGACGAAAAGTGATGCTGCATGTAAGATAGCATGACCCCAAACAGTAGCAGGCAACTCACTTTTCAAAAGTAGAGGTCTTGCTATCAATTGTAAGCCCTTAATAAATTACTCAGCAAGGCCATTTTGAGTATGAACACGAGCTACAGGATGTTAAAGTTTTATCCCTACCGATACGCAATAAGCATCAAAAGCTTGGGATGTGAATTCGCCAACATTATCAAGGTGAATTGTCTTAATGAAATAATCTGGAAATTGCGCTCTTAATTGTTTCATTTGTGCCAATAATTTTGCAAACACCAGGTTGCGAGATGATAAGAGGCACAAATGAGACCATCTTGAAGATGTGTCTATTAGGACCATGAAATATCTAAACGATCCACTAGATGGGTGAATAGGTCCACAAATATCCCCATGTATTTGTTCTAAAAATTGAGGGGATTCAATGTTAACCTTCATTGGTGATGGCCTAGTAATCAAGTTGCCTTGGCAGCAAGGAGCACATGAAAACTCATCATTTTTAAGAATCTTTCGGTTCTTTAATGGATGTCCATTTGAGTTTTCAATGATTCGTCTCATCATTGTTGATCCAGGATGACCTATTCGGTCATGTCAAAGCACAAAAGTCTTTAAGTCAATAAACTTCTGGTTTACGATAGAGTGTACTTCAATCGTACTTATTTTTGCATAATCATCAATATGGTGCATTGAGACTCAAACTCAATGTCTTATCCATACAAGGCACATTAGACCATAATTCTATGGGACTTGAACTCAATACCTTATCATTATGGTGCAGCAAAACTCGAATTAATGTCTTACCCTCTTGGTGCGATAGAACATGAATCTACTGTCTTATCCTCAAATATTTTTCATTATGCCATCCGGACTTTAACTAGATGTCTTACCCTTCAATCAATGTCATATTAGTCAGTACCAATAGAACTCAACCATGAGCCTTTAAATGAAATCAAGAATTATATAAACAAATTTAGTCAAAATAAGATTGAGAGTTTTCTCACCTCTAGCAATTATAAATATTAATAAGTTCCTCATAATTAACACTAAGAAAATCAACATGAAAATTTACTTCTTATCCTTCAATTCTTTTCTGAAACGAATAATTGTTAGTATAATCATAAATCAATGTATAAAATTGTTCAAGTAAAACAAATCATTACGTTTTACCTTTTCATATATCACATATATACTAAAATAAATTATTAGTATAAGAGAAAGTTTTGAAAATATAAATATGTAACAAGAAAAAATAAATAGAACTTGTTCCTGCTCACAAGTGTTTCAACTACAACACTTTTGCGAAGTGCTACAATTTTTGTAGCATATTCGTGCTGATAACGTGTTATAAAATCAAGATTATAAGAAGAAGACAAGAGAAGTAGATGTAAGAGAAGACTTTCTTCTTATTCAAGTATATGCAAGTTTCATATGTATATTATACAATAGTGAATGAACAACCCTATTTATAGAGTGAGAAATCACTCAAAAGGTCACCATATTAAGTATCATAATAAATTAAACATTCTTATCCAAAAAGGTTCATGAAACCTAGTGACTATGAATGGTTGTTCATGTACTAACTTTATGAACTATCCACTTATTTAATAGATTTATAACATTATGTTTATTTTAAAATACACTATTTATTTAGAAAATTAATTTTATTTTTAACTCAAAAGTAAATACACTATTTATTTAGAAAATTAATTTTCTTTTTAACTCAAAAGTCCCTTATTTAATTTATATTTTCTTACGCTATTCGATCCATCCCATTCAAGCTAATTATTGCTCTCAAATAACCTATAAGTGGGTTCTTTAAAAGTTTAGTCTTGTTTAAATCATTGATTACCTATTATTATTATCTATTTTAAAGATTTATATCTATTATTGCCATAGTTACATACTTAAAGTGAATATGCATAGCACAAAAATGGTGTGTTTCGCAATTCTTTATCCTCCATATGATAAATAACAAATTTTATGATGCTTTCTTAATTTTATATATAGTAGTTCAAGTGCTTAAGAATTTTTGTTATTTTATTTTTGGTATAATACATAAATATGTCATTTAACTTGATTTTAAATCACATTTATGCCCTTTAACTTTGGATGTGCAGAAATAGACACTTAAACTTGTATAAAGTTAAATAAATAGACACACATACCCTACATGTCATCCTACATGTCATTTTTGTCCCACGTGGTGTCCTACGTGTATTGTCTCATGTAGGACTCATGTATTTATTTAATTAAAAGTTTGATAGTTAAAGTGTCTGTTTGTGCATTGTGAAAGTTGGAGATTAAAGTTAAAATTTGAATCCAAGTTTAGGATCCAATCTATGGGATTATGCCTTTTATTTTTTAAAGTAGTTTGTCATTTAAAGTTCACCGCAAATTCTAAATATAAAGGTTTTTTCTATTGAACTATATATACAAAAAAAGTAAACTACAAATGTGTTATTTGACTTTCTATTTTCAGCTTTGTTCTTATAGTGTTATTGTAGGAGAGCTGATGTGGCATGCTTCTAAAGTCTAGAATCACATTTATTTTTTTTCTTAATTTTTGACATTTTCTTAATCTTTTACATTTATATAATTTATTTAAAAACCAACAAATTATATATTACTTACATTAATTTAGAAAGCTCAAAAGTCATTATCATGAATTTAATGAATTTTTTTATTTCTAGTTAAACTAAATAATTAATACATTTTACCTTTTACATCCATTTTGCTCATAAACTTGATTACTCAACAAGTCAATTAAGAGTGATAATTTGATAAAGAGTATTGAAAAATTAAAAATTAATGAAGAAATGCAAATTGTGACAGTGAAAGAACGAGAGAAGATGAGGATCAGAGGAGGATCCATGATTTAGAGTCAATGCATCGACTAAATCAACTTTAAATTCACATCGAAATTATTCATCTTTTTATTTTTATCCACTGTTACAAATCAATGAATAAAATATGAATTGTAATAAGATAAAGTTTATGTATTAAATATACTATAAATTTGCACTGCACATTTGACTAAGATTAGAATCCGTTGAAACCATTTTCTCATCGGCATAACCATCAATCGCCAGAATTATTTACCATCGCATAATAATCATCACTTGAATCATTTACCATCAGCATAATCATCACTCCCCGAAATTATGTCCCATTATCGGTGTAAACATTACTTGAACCATTTTCCATCGACATAGACATCAATTCTGATAACCATTTCCTATCGATATATCAAATATCCAAAGTTTCAGAATAGCATTTCAGAACCAATGCAAATGAGCACATCCACATGTAATATGGAGAAGATAAATTGTACATCAATAATCCATCAACACATACAAAATCATGACATATAGTCAAAATTGAGTCAATATACCCATTCAAGCACCCATGACATATCATATATAATTATGGAAAAATTGTATATAATGGCAAATTAATAAATCAAATCAAATGTTATAGCCACACATTGATTTAATTGTGCCCTGTAACAAACTGTTTGTCAGTCACCTCTCTCCCTCAAACTCTTGATCGTCGTTCTCCCTCTCTTGCTCCACCTTTCGCTCGCTCCCTCTCACTTTTATACAGACACAAATGTATAAAATGCGTTTCTATTTGTATAAAACGAGAAAAAATTGTGTATATACATATATTTTCGCTCCCCTCTCTGTCCTCTCCCAGATCTCGCTCGCAACTATCCCAGATCTCACTCGCCTATCTCCTAGGTCTCGCTCGTCAACCTCGCCTCTATCGTTTAAACAAACAGAAACGAAATGCATAAATTGTGCTTCTGTTTGTATAAAGTGAGAGAAAATTATATATACACCTGCAAATACATATATTTTCGTCTTATATACTTATAAATTATATAATACAAATATTTCCCTGCCCAATTTTATTTTGTCTTTCTTTCTTTCTTGTTTTATACATACACAAATTATACAATTGATTTGTATACAACTGCTTTCTTTTGTATATGTATATCAAATTATACAATTGATTTCTTTGTATATGTATAGCGAGTTATACACATTTATGTTTGCTATGGAGCGCAACTATGCAAACTTTGTTATAACATACAAATATGAATTTTTTGTTTGCTATGTGAAAGTTGCTCTATAATTACACCAACAAATTCATTTTTAGCCCAAAAGATCCATTTCTAATATTCTAGTCACATTTTAAGGAAAAGAGCGAAGATATCCTCAACTTTGATTTATTAGTTGACTATGTCTTTGACGTTAAAATAAAGTTATTTTTATTTTTGTCATTACTAATTTCATCATTTTTGCCCCTCAATTGAATGGAAAGCCCCAAAGCATTTAAAATCGTCCAATTTTGCTTGAATTACTTAATTTTAGCCCAACTTAATCCAACTAATAATATAACCCATTTTGTTTATCTTTATCTCACGCCGGATATCACCAAACCCCCTCTCTTTTCTGACCTCTTTCACGACCATACAATAACCAACCAGTCACCGTAAACCAAACCCAGATTTTTCCAAATCCAACCAGAAAGAGCTGCCAAAGAAGAACCCAACAAGACTATTCTTCTTTTTCTTTTGCCATCTCTGGCCGAGCTCCAAGCCGGAGAAAAAAACAACCAGCAGCTGTCAGTCCTTTTTCTCCTCCCTCACGCCATTGTATCAGCCACAAGGAGCAAAACAACCTTGAGCTCGAATCTCAGGCGAACAATAGCAACCAAAACGCCTCCGAACAGCCGCTCCATTCATCGCAAATTATCATCCTAACTTATTAAAAGTTATTCTAAAATTTCATGATCTAAGTAAGTAATATTTTTGTTTGATTAGGTAAATAAACGAAGTAGTATTTTTATATGGAATTTATTAGCTTCAATTGAAGAATTATTTATCTCATTATTGTTAATCTTATAGGAAAATGTCACTGAATATTGTATCAAAGAAAGATATAGGTTTGGGGTTTTAAGTTTTAGTACGAGTTCATTTGATTAATGGGTTGTGTTAGGGCTAAAACAGATAACTGGTAATTCAATTGAAATTGGGTTAATTTAAGCCAATTTTAGACTTCCAATCGACCCAAATGACGAAATTAGTAATGATATGGATAAAAAATAATTTTATTTTAATGACAAGAACATAGCTAACAAATAAATCAAAGTTGAGGGGTATTATTTTACCCCAAGTATAAAATATGAATACCCTCTCCTTTTCCTACTCTCAATCACACAACAAGAAATACAAGGTTCACGGAAGGTCAAAGAGGCTCAGTTGACTTAAATAAGAATGAAATCAAATAGATACTTGGTCATTCCCTTTATGACGACCTTAGAATTCACAAATCTAATTAAATAAGTAATCCCAACAAGAAATCATAAACAACAATACCCAAAATGTTTATTTTGAAAACTCGGTCCAATTCGACCCAAAAGGCCATTCCCAGGGATTGAGCGTAAATCTGAAATTGTTATAAAAAATTATGATATCCAAAGTTTCTGGAACTCATTAATTACTAAAAACCATATAAAAACTTGAGTTGAATTCAAGCTTAAAATAAGCTCCAATTATCAAGAACTCAATTTCCAGAGAAAACCTCCAAACTTTGAATTTGAAGATAAAGTTTTAGATGTTAAAATCATGAAAAATAAATGGGTAATGAAGGAAGGAAGTTAAAATCACTTACCCAGTCGACTAATCTTCAAAACTCTCATTAAAATTGCCTCCTTAGAGCTCTCAATGTTCAAAAATGGTGAAATGAGGAAGAAACCCCGATTTGGGAAATTTTATTACATGTTGGAAGTTGTTCTCCATGATCGTGTAACACCTCAGTCTTAGAAAGAGCTAATGTTAGAAAGAACTAAATTAGAAATAACCAATTTGAGTTTTTTTTTGCAAGTTAGTTTTCAATTATGAGTTTTGAGTCACTTTCAAATTAAGTACAAGATAGGTTAGGAGGTCCATGAGATATCTAATGAAAAATCTTTGAGTTCTTTTTCCAATGTCACTGAGTTTACTAAATTTTGTGTTCGGACGAAGAATATATTTCTGTTAGAGTACATGCTATCTAGTCAAGACATTTTATCTATTTTAAGGAGGGGTATTTTGATCTTTTCCTTACCTCCACTAGGCCACACATTTTTTCCACCCAAATTAGGGGACAAAGCTGACTAAATCAATACATTTACGCTAAACTCTTAAAATGTTTGGAAGGTTAGGGCAAAGTCCAAGAGGAGAAAAGAGAGAAAAACTAAGTGTTCAAGATTTCTTGTGATATTTGATGAATTTCGCCAAGGATTTGATATTTTTGAGGTATGTAAGCTTTCATAGTGATTTGTTAGTTCGCCCTCATGTCAATAATGAGTTTCCTCATTGAATTCTTCCTGAGACTTCATGTATTGACGTCTTGATGAGTTTTCTTGAGGTTTTGTTCTTCATTCATTATTAATGAAGTTTGATGAGTTCTTGAGGTGAGGGTTTTGAGTTTGAGGGTTTCTCTTGAGGAGAATTGAGTAGATTTTTGTTTATTTATGTTGGGTTTACAAATCCAAGAATTTTGGAACAAATAAATCGACTTTGGATAAATTAGGGCAAAAATTGAGAAGAAAAATTTCCCCGGATGTTTTAGAAATGGGTTGGGGCCGATGCGCCAGCAAGCCTGGTGTGGGCGCCAGTAGTGCACTAGAAATGACCCTCAGTATTGGAGGTCTCGCGTCACCCTTACGCCCGAAACATCAAGCCACTTTATGGAACCCTTGAATGACTCAATTTAAGGGTTTCAATAACCATATATAGAACTCAGTTGTTGGAACTCAACAACTCCAGAACACAAGAACTCAATGATACTACTCATCATAAGAATGTTCAACTCATAGAGTTCATGGAGAATTATGGACATGAACAACTCAACTCAAAGACTTCATAGGTAACATGTAATAGTCCTATAAGTAAGGGTATAATCTCAAAATGATTAATTAGGAACTCAATGCTCAAGAACTTAGAACTCCAAGATACTATTCCTCTCAAAGATACTCAAATTATGGAGTTCATGTAGAATTTATGGGCATGAACAACTCGGCTCAAGAGTCTAAATAATAATATAGAACTCATATGTACGAATCTTCTCATTCTCGTATGTATTTCCTTTAAACTTATTTAAGATTGATAGTTGATCTCAAAGGATTCAAAATTAACCCAAAGACTTTCTTGACTCTACACTTAACTATTCTTTGAATTTTAATTATGAATTAAAGAGTTATTATTCATGATATGAAGGATCTCGTGATGACTGAATGTAGTTTAGAGTAGTTAGAATCATAAAGGAGTGAAGGTACACTTTAAAGGAACTCAAACGGGACGATAGAAAAGGTGTGAGGGCAGGTGACTCTAGCTCGGGACACCTGCCCCTTAACTTCATAGACATATTTGTGACGCATTTTCGGGGCGCCGCCCCAGCCCTCACAAAAACATTTTGATGAATCTTCTTCTTCGATTTATACCCTAATTCACCTAGAATCGAATGATTTCTTTCCCACTCACTTAGAATCAAATACCCGACATAAGTATACAAGAATCTAATCACTTTTCCTCAAGAATAACTCAATAATTGAAAGCCTCACCTCAAAATTCATCAAACTCTATAAACAAGGCACGAAGAACAAAATATAAGAAAACCCATCAAGATATCAAATCAATCAACCTCACGGATGAATTTAGGGATTTGAAACTCACATGATTGGCGTGTGGTGAACGAACCCAACACCATGACAACTTACATACCTTAATTTGGTGAAACTCCTCGAAGAATCTTGACGAACGCCTTGAACCTTTCCTCTTTTCTCTTCTTGAATTCTTTTCTAAAATCCTAAGTGTATTAGGATTATGAAAATTGATCCATATCAGTTTACACTCCTAAAATCTTACTAATAACATTTTAAGTTGAAGGGGTAAGGAAAAGGCCAAATTACCCCTCATAAATTCGGATAACATTCCTTAACTGGATCGAGGACTTCAAATGGGCATATCTCTCTCATCCAAAATTCAAACAAAGCAAATTTGGCGGAGTTGGAAAGAGGTCTTGAATATCTTTCATTTGATATCTTATGGGTCTCCTAACTCGTCCTGTGCTAAAAGTTATGATCGTTTGAAGTTGACCCAAAACTTAAAAGAACTTACAGATGACTTGAATGAATTCTCTTTCGGTTCATTTTGTAACTCAAGGTGCTAATCTAGTGACCTTGACTATCAAGAAAAATTAAATTCGTCGGTAAAATCTTATTCAAAATGAAGAATGACCTTATTAGGAAGTTTCTCTAACCGAAAACCATCACTATGAATTTCGTGATGATACAACATCTTATCCACATTTCTAAAGCTCACCCATACCATGTCGAAGCATAGAACACAACTTAACTATTGGATCCACTAAAAAGCCTTCTTGAGATAGGTGAGGAGTACCCATCTTGCAGTATGATCCTATCTATGTTGGCGGCATAGGTTATAGAGTATGAGTTAATATATATATATATATATATATATATATATATATATATATATATATATATATATACTCACACACTCATAAAAAATACTCATTTTTTGAGGTACTCAAAAGACCCTCTTTAAGGTATAAGCGACTTTTACTTTATTAGTCTAAAATGCTTCTAAAAAAACTTTTTATGCTTTTCTTGAAATAGTACTTCTTTCAAAATGTGAAAAGTAATACATTTGGAATCATTAAATTTTCCTGAACGCTTTTTAATAATGCTTTAAAATTACTCTTGGACTCTTTTTAAATTTCTAAATAATTGCACCAAAGGCTTCCAACAAAATCTCATCAACTAGAGTTCAAGCAAAATTATAATCATGGACAACAACTTAAGGATCTCAATGCATAAAATATTGTAATCTCATAATTAAGAAATCAGAGCTCGGGATAAAAACACAATTCAAATTCAGAATTTAATGAAACTTCGGGTAAACCACTAGATTTAACTCTTACAGACTGAACTTAGATGTAGGACGCGTGGACGAACTTAATCCAACACTATGAATAGCCTTACATACCTCGAAGAACAATTTTCTTGAGGAAACTTGAAGAAGACGCTTGAAAAACCTAACATTCTCCTTTTGGATCCTTGGTCTAAGTGTTGTAAATGTTTAATGGGAGTGTTAGGATCAAACTAAAATGATAAGAACCTTAATTAGGTGTAAAACTTCAGAGTATAGACTTAGAATGGTGGGAAAAGACTAAACTAACCCTATTTAAAAATTATCAGAACCGACTCTATCGCACCATGTGTGGTCCGTACACATTTCTATGGACCGTAATAGTAATCGTAGGTCGAGTACATAGGACCAACTATCACGTCAATTTCCCTGACACAAGGTCTATGGTCTGTAAACCGACCAACAACCCATAGGTCCTTCCGTGCAACCCATGGTCAAGAATTCTTCTACGTCAATTCCCATTCCCATGACTATAGGACTTTGTAAGATCCGTAGACCTAAGATTTCATAAAAATTTTACCAAGCATGGATCTCTTCTATGGACCAATAAAACTTCCTACGAACTATTATGTTGGTATGTTGGAAAAAAAAAATACCAAAAGAGATAAAACTTCCTCCTAAGAGTTGTGAAATGTTTCGTTATAAATCAAAGTAAGAAATGAATTCTAAGTTTCTTTTAAAAAAAACAGCCAAAAGAGAGGAAAAAACAACGTCATTCCATCTTCTTTTTCAATGGTCATTCAATTCCATGTTCATAGTAATGACGTAAGTATACTGAAAACTTTTTAAAAAGCTTATATATATGTTAGAGATGTTTGGAGTATTTGGGGTGAGCTTCTTGGTTGCATTAATAATTACGAATGTACCGAAATACATATAAGCTTTCCTTCTAGACGAACGTACTAATTATTAATGGAAGTGTAATTCTACTTTAAAAGTTTTCATATTTGTGACATATTATTGTTTTGGGGGAAAAGGGTCTGATATACCCCTCAACTTTGTCATTTGGAGCTGATATACCCCTCGTTATAAAAGTGGCTCATATAAAAATGGGTATATCAGACAAATTATGCTTCCGCACATTCTATATAATCAAGGTAAAAGCTTATGTCCCCCTTCATTTAATTATGGTTTTTAGTATATACTTATTGGAATCGTGTTAAATTCCTTCATATTAAAAATAGAACTTTTGGAAGAAAAATGTTCATGTAGGTGAGGGGCTTGAGGTCTTAGCTCCATAATTTTATCTTTTCATTTTTTTCTTTCCTTCACGAGGAATAAATAAAATATTTACGATAAAATAGAATTACTATTATAAATTACAAAACATAAAACAACTGAAAAGAATCAATTATTTTTCATGTTGCCTTGACGCAATTGGTGTAACATCTCGCTATTTAAAAGGACTAAGAAGAGCTAGAATAAGAAAGAGAAGTTTTTGAAAAGAATGAAAAAATTGGAAAATTGGTTAAGTTATGTTGAGCTTTTGGTCACCTTCAAATGACTATAACTCCAAGCTCAGGATGAGCTAAGTGTATTTCCGGATAACATAGGTAATATCATGGAATTTTCTTTCCATAGTTGCTGATGTTTCTCATATTCGAGTTGTATGAGTGAAATCTACCTATTTGAAGTTGTGATGAGTAGATATGGAAAGTCAACCAGATTTTCAAGGGATATTTTGGTCTTTTACTTACCTAATTGATTTGATTCGTCTTTAGTGAATTAATTAGGGTAATAACCGAATTGGTTCAATTTGCACAATTGGAAATTAACGCTAGGGTATTAGAGAGAAGAGGAGAGGGAAATCAAGATATCATCATCTTCGTGAGGAATTGACTGCGAATTTTGTCGAGGACTTAATCATACAAGGTATGTGAGACTTTCATAACGTTGGGTTCGTTCACGTTCCAGACATGTTTATTTCAGCGTGAATTCGTCCTAAAAAAATTGGACGTTTGAATGTTCTTGAATTTGTGTTAAGATTGAGGAGTTCTTGAGAGTTTAATGTTGATTATTAGAGTTAATTTGAGTTAGTATTCTTGTGTATATATTTTTGGTACTTGAATCTAAAGAGATATTGAGGAAAAGAATAGAAATTAATTGAATTAAGGTCAGAAGACAAGAGAAAAAGTTCATCAGATTCGTCTGGGG